CTGATCAATGGTACACTGTGTGCGTGCTTTGCACCACATTAACCGAGCAGCGTGGTTAGACTTTTTGATCAAAGGCTTATGGGCAGTAGCACGACCATGAAAACCAAGCAGATGTGCTTTCGTACGGATGTTATTCATTGCAACAACTTTTTGGTTACCTGTTGAAACCCCTGGAGTATGTGGGCCATCGGTTGGGGGCCGTTCTTCCTAATTTCACTAGAGAGCACCCGTATGTACCCATCTCCCAGTTTCGCGGGTCTGGCGACTCGAAACACATTCCAATAATTACCATTCACCTTCCACTTCTGACTCGCATAGGCCACTGTTGAATTTGGGTAGTTTAAACTAGATATGCCCCTTAATGACCGGCCATTTTTATGATACCTTTCACGAAATCAGATACTCTGCACTTCGAGGTATCTTGCATGTCACTAATTCCAGTTTGTTTCCTATACGATATTTAATGGTGGAATGCATGACATGTATCAGGACCACAAATATCGGCATTTGGACAGGTGTCCGAATATTATTGGTACATAGCGTATTATTAGATTTCTTAGATGCTAGAAACGTGAAAGATCAACTGTGTCCTTACCAGGGCTCATGCTACGAATCTCTCACTTGATAACTGGACGAGCGAACAAATTATACAACACGAACACGTCCGGGGGCATGCAATAATTCCTTATATCTTATCAATGCATTATCTTAATTTTCAAGAGTTTTCTATCTTTGTGTCAACTGACAGCCACCTGCGGAAACGTTCGAGGGGGAAAGAAGATACCTTTTCCTAAGGATCCTGTGTTACACCTTCAATGATCAACCACATCAGAAAGTATAATCGCTGAAGCTAGAGTTTCAAAATTGAGACAGCATACATATTAAGAACAGGAAACGCCGTTTGCTCTAGAAAGAACGCGTGTATTGAGAATTTTTTCAGAAACCTAGCTCATATTACGCATCTGATAAATCCCTCAGATCACCATCTTCAAATTTTAAGAACCACACCCCAAAAGATCTAAAAAGATGGGCAAAGAAATTTAAATATTTGTATATGGTTTGTTTTACGATTTAGAGTATCTTAGAAACAAATACTTTTAGAATTATTATTGAAAATAAACGAGAAAAGTCTTGTTCCATCATTAAAGGTACTTGGGTACTTTTAGTTATCCTTCTTGCAAAAGAGTGGTAATTTCCTTTCGTGATGGTAGAGGAGGGAAATATTTTCTTCCTTCACCATCCAAATATAAAAAAGGATAAAATTTATTTTAATACGTATTAATAATTATAATATTTCAACATTCAAATTAATCTGTTTCAAAACCACGAATGCTGACTATGTCGTCATTCGAAAGGCCTGAGAAACATTGCATTAATATATGGTAGTTTTGCTGCTTCCTATATCAGTTCTTGGCGAACTCTCTTTTGTGCCATTCCAGACAACGATAATGATAATGTAACATGCACTAAATACAATATCAACCCGATTTACACTGCTTCTCTTAACATTATCCCAAACTAAATCGCTTGCTTTAAGCAAAGTGTAAGAAAAATATTTGTTGATCAATTTAGCCGCATTTTGGGAATAGCGTTTACGTGAATCAGGAACTCACTTTTGAATAAATTTTTTAGGTTTAGAATTTAGTAGTTGAAGAAACTAGGGAATTTCAATCCTAATGCTACAGGAGTAGGAGGCACTATTTTTAATTTTGCAAATAGTTATATCGCACTGAAACTAACCTGAATATCTTCGACTCTACTAGTTAACAAAATACTTTTCAAGTCTTTGTCACAACCCGATTCGGCCCAGACTTCAGTGCGGAATAGCTTCCATTCTTCTAATACACTTATTAAAAGTCTGTTTCGACATTCCCTTTTGACACTGAAAATACTCGGAATCTAGGAACTAGGAACTAGAAAAGTCTAGGAAAGAATTAATACGTAGTCCAATGATTTTAATGTGATAGTATGCATTATCTTGATCCATTTAACGATTAGTCAGCAATATTGAAACTCGAGCAAAAGAAAATTGCTGGTAAATTTCGCAATTCCTATTAATGAAAGATCCTTCTTCAGTATCGATAAGCAAGAGCTATATCCTATCCATCATATTCGAAAATCAACTGTAGCAACTTCCTAAAACTTCTTTAGCTTTCAAGCAGGATTCTCGCTCTGTTGGCCCGAGTCAATGTTAAGTCGTTATTACTATACACCTTCTCATCCATATCGCTTTATCGCTGGCTAAGAAATTTTCTCAAAAAAAAAAAAAAAAATTGACAGATAATTCCTATTAGGTAATTCATAGCTCAGTATAAGAAGAGAACCGCATTTGTTTTCTATAAGGAAATCTAGATCATATTCACATTACACATACAGAAAACCCAAGCAGCCAGACCATTTGCCGGAATTTGCACCCGGGTCGAGTTACCAGTGTTTAACTGTTTTGCCGCTCTCCCGCGGTTGGGTCGAAAAACATCGATGAAAACAAATATGCAGACTGTCAAATTACAAGTGTCCAGTGGGTTAATGATTGGTATTTATCGTTTTCAATGCACTAGATTGTATTATTTAATTATCCCAAAACACACTATTTCTATCTGCCCATGGTTACTTTCATGTAGGAATTTATAAAGAAAATTTGCCCTTTTTACGTTTCACATTAGAAAAGTCGGAAAACTCCCAGGAGTCAACCCATTTAACTTCTGTGAGTAGGCCCTAGAGCAGGGTTGGCCAAACTTCATGTCAGTAAGAGCCGCACGTTTGAATTGAGGAATGTTCGAGAGCCGCATCTAGATTTTCTAAAAGCCACAAGTTTATATTTACATCATTATAGAAGTAGTGCAGGAAGTTTTAAATAGAAAGAAACCCCTGATAACTTTGTAAAAAGAGTCTAAACTAATTAATTTCTTCTTTTTGGACACTAAATAGTTTTAGTTTACCATATTTTATACATATATTTTATATGCACGAGCCGCACAAATTGCCTGCGAGAGCCATATCAGGCTCGCGAGCCGCACTTTGGCCACCCCTACCCTAGAACAAACTACTAATGATTCGCAACTTTCGCCTCTCGACCACTGGTGACCCCTAATTGGTTTCAATTTCCGCTTTCATGATTATCTAATTAAAGAATTACTGTTACATGTTGAGATTTTGTAATATATATCAATCGTACATACTTTTCATTAACGAATCCACCTGTATTGCGAATTTATAAATATGATCTATGGAATATTATTAAATCATTGGAATTTTGAGTTGAATTATATTTTTATGTTTGCTGTCTTTGAGACGAGGAATTAAATAAATCAGAAGTAGGCAAAATTTCATTTACAATAAACAGATAATCTTCAATCACTAGTACTTCCTCTCGCAAATATTTCGGTTCACGAACAAATTATCTGAACAAGAATGCCTCTGATGACGAACGGTATCTCTAGTTACGAACTCTCAAGACGGCAAAATGATTTTTGGATGCGTTTTTAAGTAACCTGTGCCACATAGTTAACACTCAGGATATTTATATTAATTCTGTGAGAAAAACTGTTTTGGTTTACAAACATTTCAGTCGATAAACAACCTCCCAGAACGAATTCAATTCGACAACTAGTGTTTTATTAGTATATTTAGATCTTTCCCTGTTATAGAAAACGCGCGCCAAACAATTTTTTGCAGAAAAAAAAATGCGTCAGTGTTACCTTTTGTCCCGCATTAAATTAAATACCAAATTAAATATTCTTATCACTTATAACAGGTATCTTACAAGTCATTAAAATGTTTTTAAATGTGCCCTTCTATTGCATTATTTGTTTACTAAAACAACTAATATAAAATATATATTCCTTATACTTGAAGAAATGTTACTATAGTCGAAATAAGCTGATGGCGAAAGTATATTTTATCTCCGAAAATATCTAGATACCTCGGATATCCTCGAGAAAACTGATTGGCGTGTGTTGACTTATAATGCAAAGCATACAGATGATAGCTTACATCAATGATGCAAACTCAAGAGAGTATGCCGGTCTAATAAGCGATCTAAAAACAGCTGAAGGGACAGAATTTTTTTTTAACAAAAAGAAATGAAGCATTTGAAATGCATTTTAAATTTCTCTTGCTAAATATTTATCAAAACATACACAAATAATAATAATAATATCCAAACAAAAATTTCAAATCTATATGTATATTCTAGATGAAAATCTAGTTTGGTATCTGCAAAACATTTTTACCATTTACTCTTTGTAATTCAAATATATGGACAGTTAAATATTAAATTTTCAGACTGGCATTTATTTCAAATTATTTTAACATTTTTAACTGATCGTTAAATAATTTACTTTAATATACACTAAAATTAAAGAAATTAAGAAAACTTTCCAAGTGGGATAAAACTTGAGAAAAAATAATGACAGTCTAGTCTCTTTCTCTTATTTGTTAACTTTTTCTTCGACGTATAAATAAGTGCTTGTATGTAAATAATTAAAGTCCTCTTTATTTTTTACTACAACTTGACACTCGATGGGGATGGATTCTGATAAAGTTTGTAGCCTTGGAGAGAGATTACTAGAAATTATCGTCATCACAGACTGTAGATACTCAACGGTGAATTTGATTCTTATTTAGCAGTTATCAACTGTGAAAAAAAAAAAAGCTGTTTAATAATAAATGTATTCCCAAACAAATCGATTATTCTTAGTGCAAAATTTTGTAATTTACCTTTTGACAAGTATCTGTAGAGACATTAGGTTATTTTGAAGCGGGAAACGTCCAAAATGAGCAATGCTGTCCCCGGTCTCGAACCTGCGCCGAGCGTGCTATCCGTTGCACCACAAAGTCATGCAGAAAGGAAGGTGAAAATCCCCTTTTGGGGAGACTTTTAGGAGACCCAGTCACCAAATCCTGGTGTTAAGAATCATCATCCACCACATTTTAGTTCAGGCGCCACTGCAGAATCATTTAGACTATTTTCAATATCAGGAAACTTAAGAAATGAGCAGTGCCCTCGCCAGGACTCTAACCTGGGACCTCTCGAATGCGCGGCGAGTGTGCTAACCGTTACACCACAAAGGCATGCAGAAAAGGGGGAGAAAATGCCTTATATACGAATAAAAGTTAATAAAATCTGTATCTTCAAAACTTTGAGATTTATTATCACATTGCAAATTAATTCGCTCCATTTTTCTAGCGAGTTATTCACATTCGTTTTTAGTAACAATGAAAATAATGTAAATGACTAAATAAACTCTTGAAATCTTTGCAACACCGTATATTTGCAACAAATGCATAACCGAAATGTATTCGTGGGCCGCATAAAATTGCTTCGTGGAGGGCCCCGGTTTGATGAAACAAATTACTGAAGTTTCAAAATCAATTCTGCCCAAGTACTGATTGAATAAAAATATTTCTACATTAATTCCAAAAAATACTTAATTTTGTTCTTAAGAGTGTTAGGTAAATCGAAAAATATTATCATGCAAAGCTTACACTTCGAGTCGTTTAAAAAGTGAACTTTTCGTCCAACATCAAATACAAAACTCGAAACAAACACAAATCTCAGAGCAGCTTCACCAGGTGTAAAAAGAAAAAAAATAGAGAAAACCGTACGACCTCGTAGTAGACTTGCCGAGTCAGATTAATAAAAATACTAAAAAACACACGGAATCTTTTTTTATCTACAAAAAATCAAGGATACTCACCTTTTTTCCTCAGAGTCTGCAGCAACATACCTTTGTTGTTTTTTAATCCATGTGGCTATCCGATTCTTAAAGTTAACAGAAAGATCATGTGCGTTTTAAAGCCCTTTAAAGCACAACGTGGTTTCTGTTCGCATATGAACACAGGAATGTTCAAAACATGAAAACCGACTTCGCACTAGACACGCGAGATATCGGAGGCGTTTCCCTCGCGCGCGACGGATTTACCAAGGGTACTGTCTCAAAAGTTAGCGCCATCTGTTGACAACTTATTGAGTAATACGTAAGAATTTCATCTTAAAATTTTAAATGTTGCAAAATGAAGCTGTAATACTTTGCTCACTGTAAAAAATATTAGGATAAAAATTTCTAAATAAAAATCTTAGGGTTTAGAAAAATTTTTATTGTTTAAAATAATGAAGCTGTTCTTAAAATTATCAGTGGGATGCATTATGAATTAGAATTTTAAATTATATAACTGAAATAGTTTACTGATTATTAAAATAAATGGAATATAACCGTTATAGTCGTTGGTCACGTGACCTAGAATTTCACGGTTGTCGATGTTATCCGGAGCAATAAAAATTTATGTAGACTGTTAAAATAACATTAAAGCAAAGGGCAGTGACTGAGAACAAAGCTACTGCTGTTTGGTGACAGTTGGCAACCGCAAAAGAATCTCCCGAAGGCTTGTGGGGAAGTTCAGATGCAGATTCTCATAGCAGTGAAATTTTATTAGCACAGGAGGTGTTATTAGTTTCAAACCTCACTTTTTTGTTGGCACGACTTTTGTACCCGTATCATTTTTCAAATGTTGCCACCAAATATTATATTTAAAGAAATAATATAATGAATATAGAGAAATACATATATGGCAACACAAATAAAAGGATGCTGCCAACAAACGTTATCTCTATGTATTATTTTTAAAGAAATGATTTGGAGAACATTAAAAAAGAAATGTACGGCAGCACGCTTTATCCGAATCGGAAGATATCCAACAGAAACCATTTTTAACTTCTAAGCGCCAGTCTGTTGCTATTTGATGCAGTATAAAACATTTTTTTAATTTAATCTGACTGTTATTGATTAACAAATTAAGTGATTTAAAAGCAATTAATGCAGTTTTTTTATCTCTTTTATTAATTCCAAGCTTCACCCGCGAAATAACACTAGCTGGATTTATTATAAGCATTTCATATATGTATATTCCTTTTCCATAGTAACTATTTTAAGCGGCTGCACCAGCGCCTAGTTATTATTGGAAAAAGGAAAATGGGCAGTAATAAGGATTCGACATAAAAGTGCGGTTTGAGAATAATCAGCACCCCTTAGATACACGAGTTAAATCTAGGGGGTGTTGGAATCATAGCCTTTCTGGCATAAAAAATATATGCAGCACTTAGCGCTGTATTGGGAATTCCAAACATGTACTGCTTTTAAAAATTTTTAAGATTTTGCTGTTCAGTTTTATGTGGCGTAAGTGTGAAGAACGTGATATTTAATAACAAAGTTAAAAAGACAAAAAAAAAATTGTGTCAGCAAACGTGAGTCCAAGAGCAGGTAGACAAATTGTGAACTCAACAAGGGCGTAAAAAACTTAACGAACCCTCTGGTGCGACATTAAAATCTGAATCTTTTAAATTTCTTCACTATTTTTTAATTATTTCATTTAAATTGAATTGAATTTAGAATTCTTTATTTTCGGTAAATCATACTACAGCTATTTCCTTGAGGAAAATGAAGCCTTCGTGTATGTTATATTACACATGAAGAACTAAAAAAACTCAGTGGCGTAACAGCCCTAATGGGCCAAGGCCTGCAGTGCCCGAAAATCTGCCTTCTTGACAGTGGGCTTCGAGGTGCGTAAGCATATGCCCTGAACAAGTGGTCAGCTTGCCGCAGGACCCCCCGTGTTTAGTCCCCAAGCGAACTTGGCACTCATTTTATCGACCCAAGTGATGGAAATCAAGGGATGAAAAGCTGAGTCGACCTTGCTCAGCCCGGGAATCGAACACCGGACCTGTGCTGCTGCTGCGTGATGCTCTAGCCACTGAGCCACAGGGCCTTTCACATAAAGAAAACCACGAAATCATCCACGCAGCTAGCTGTTTGCTGTGACTGGAACCGAGATCGAACTATTAGTGTTCAGCAGTCTTATCCCCTCGGCTATTGGTAGGTCATGTTTAAACTGAAGAGTTCACAAGTAGATTGAAATAGCATCATTGCATCACTGCTGTGACATATACACATTTATAATGCATATGCTATATATGCACCAATGCAAAATACACTTTTATTCAGTTTCGGAGCATAAAATCCCCATTATTACTTTTTACACGCTGATGCCCATGCTAATAACCTCAACGACAATCAAACTGTAGCTTATTAGTGTGGCGTCTTGATAATTTATCGTCTGTATATGAACTATTTAAGAAATACTGATGTGAATATTTATAGTCTATTTTGAAATCCATAAGCTACAATGATTCTGTAAAAATTTTAAACTGATTAATAAATTCTGCTGAGTTAGCATTCCAATTCCGATGGATATTTTATATATCTGAGCCAGATACTAATTCAATTGTTTACAATAGTAACGGTGGAAGCGGATCGAAGGTACTCGAAACTCGCATGTGCTTTTCTATATTTAAATATCCTAAAACTTATAAGTTATTTACTCCACTGTTATCGCGGCTAGCAGTTGGAAGGTCCAGAGTTAGAATCCCGGCAACAGCATTGCACACTTTTCATGTTTCCTGCTTCGACAAACATAATGACACTACAACTTATCTATCTTATATATCATGACGGTACCTTTAACTAACTTATTAAACCTATTTCGTTGTTTTAGGGGAAAAATTAGTTATGTTTCCTAAAATACATAAAGAGGAAGAGAAGATCTTTCTAAGCAAATAACATTCACAGCTGTGACAAAAAATTATTGGCAATGATTCACTTAAAATACTCGAGTGCTAGAAATTGCCTGCTGTTGATTATTTTTAAGATGCTTTTTTAGGATTTTCGCAGATAGCTAGTAACAGTCTGTATTTCATTCTAATATCATTTCCAAATAAATTCCTTCTCAATGAATAACGTTGTATTTGCTTTGTTACTTTCTCCAAATGATGAAAGTAACTGAGCAAAAAATGTGCTTTAAATTTTAATTTCGTAATGGCATTTCTGCTACGAATGTTTCTGAATTGTTGCAAAATGCAGTTGAGCGCAACACTTAAAAAAACAAGATTTTTTTAAGGGATATAAGATGTTTAAGGAAAACAAAGGATCACTAAGGATTAACCTTGTTTGAGACCATTCACTTCAACTGGTGTACTACGTATCGATCAAATTAGAGATCTGGTGCTTAGTTAATCTCGTTTAACAGTTTAGGTTATTATTAAACAAATTCCTGCATCATTTAGATTTTATCAAGAAACTCTGAAAGGAAATTTAATCTTACTAAACGCCAATAGCTGAGTTTTTCCAAAAAAAAGGGTAAGTGAAGGGTTTTAGCTGTGCAGAAGTTTGAATCAATATCCTTCAGACACTAGGAGATTGATAAGCAAGTTATCGCTCCAGTCTGAATTAAGATGGAAAAGTCCTGCGAAGATTAATATAATAAACTTTTCATTGAATCTTTAAATTAAACAGGAGGATCCACTTGTTCTTACAAACGAAACTCCGACATTTTTAGGTGCTTAAAATAACTTGAACTGAAATTTAAATTCAAGGCAACATAGTCGGAGACTACACCAAATGGTCTATTTAAGTTGCCTCAAATATTTTAAATGCGTGTTTTAACGTCGGCTGGCAAAAATTGTTTATGTCGAACAATTTTTGACAGAGCTGACGATAGGACGTAAAGTGCAAGTAAAGCTGTTGAAAGCTCTAAACATTAAAGCATTCAAAACCCTCCATCTAAATACGCAAACAATTAATTTTCATTCTGGTGAGGACGCCGTGGATGACTGTGTATGAAAGAATAGTCCCAACGTAGCTTATACGTGTCATAAAAGTCAACTAAAATTGGTACCCAGTGTCCGGGGTTATAGCAGAGTACCCTGACCCTGAGATTATACCAGGGATTGGACCTCCAGGTTGTGGGGGATGAGGCTAACAACCTCACCCCGTAAAAGTCCTTTTGTTACGAAATGAAAAGAAGAATTTTCTGGACTGTTTATGCGAAGACGGCTTGGAAAAACTTTTTAGGATCTGAGATTTAGAACTTAAAATTTGCGTTCGCTTTACAGGAGCTAGGGACTTTCTAATTTAACGGAATTAATAGACGATTATACAGTTGACTTGATTTCACTTCAGGAAATGAGATGGATTGGACAGCAAATTCAGGACGGCAGAAATTACAGTATATTTTATAGTTGTTATCCTGAAAAATGTGTGTTTGGCACGGGTTTCATTGTTTATAAGAGGATTAGGCATATTATTATCGATTTTGAGGTTAAGTCTCCTAGGTTATGCAGCATTAGATTGAGAGGTAGATTCTTCAACTATAGTTGAACTAATATACATGCACTAACTGAAAATAAAAATGAGGCGGAGAAAGTTACTTTTTAAGAAAATATCCACGCACTGTATTCTGCCATCCCGAAACATGATATTAAGATTATGCTGGGATATGCAAATGTCCATATAGGGAACAAAAATAGATTCAGACCTACATTTGGGGGCATAGCCTAAATCATGATTCAAATGATTATAAACAGAAACTGATTTTCTTTTGCTAAGGAGCATGATATGATGATGGGCAGTACCTGCTTTTCACACAGAAGTATTCACAAAATGACTTAAAATTTGCAAATTGTGACAATTTCAGTCAGACTGGCCATATCTCAAATGATACCAGACGTTCTGGATATACTGGATACATACTGGATGTCAGGTCACATCGTGGAGCAAATTTTGGCTCAAACCATACTTTAAGTACAAATACTATACCAATTATTTGGTAATTGATGAAAATAAGAGCAAAAATCTCTAATTCTTGTCTGTTGTTAAAAGAGAAAGATATAAAGAAGAGATACCAGAATGAATTATAAACTCAAAAGACTCAAATTGGAGAATTTTGAGTGTATAGATGAGGAATGGAATCTGTTATTACTGAAACTGGCAACAGAGTCTTAGGAACAGCAATAAAGGGAATGAGTGACAACTGGTTTGATCAAGAATTTAGGGCT